GAAATCTATACCATGGCACTCACAAAACATAAACTTTTGTTTACATTTTATATTTATATTTTAACTTCTTTGCATGACGCTTGTTAAACATTTTTAAATAGTGGCACACACGTCGAGCGCCACTAGGAGAAACTCATTTCCCGCACTTGAAACACAATATAGGTACTATTTAATCGCATAGATAATAAGCAATAAATTACAATTTTATTTCATTTTTTCTAGTCTAATAATGTTAGACGTTTAAGTTATTTGTTTGAAACTTGTTATCGTTTTTGTAGTATTAAATTAAACAAAATATACATGTATTTTTTCCCCTATGATGTTATTATAATAATTTGTACTTTATCATATTTTATGTTTCACTATCACATAGCCGACATGATAGTTTGCTATCCAAGCGAAGCCTTCATTGTACCACCCATACTCATTCATCAAATTATGTCATTTTATTATATTGATAACCATGATAGGAACTGATATTATGGGGAGAGTATATTCATAACATTTTTTTATATGTAATATTAAACAATAGCATTGCATAGTATAATTACGTGGTAGTGTAAGACATGCAGCAGCAAAATGTTCATAATGTATTGTAGAAATAAAATATTTCAATAGTTTCACACATGCAACACTGCTGTCCGTTAATTGAAATAAGAATTTAAAAAGTTTATTTTTTCATGAAGTCGTTTTTATTAAAATTCTAAAAAATTAACTTTTTAAATTTAAAAATGTTTAACAAGCGTCATGCAAAGAAGTTAAAATATAAATATAAAATGTAAACAAAAGTTTATGTTTTGTGAGTGCCATGGTATAGATTTCAGTGTGTAAATGCGCATTGTATACGACCAGCACTTTTGAGGATTTCCACTCCATCGCGAGCTGGAGGGATAAAGATTGGTTTCCAACACTTCAACCATCTTCAAAACTTAACAATCGGTGCAGGCATGATAAAAATTAGCAAAAGTGCTTAGCATATCCTCTGCACAACCATAATCTGAACTCTATTCCGCGGTCCTCATATTACATAAACTTTTGGTTACATCTTATATCCCTCCAGTTCTTTTGCAGAGGTCGATGAACGTAGAACAAAAAAATAGTATGTGTGGCTCGTGCACGAAAGCAATGACATGGAATAATTTTAGTAAAAAAAAAGTGTGGAGGAAAAGGTAGAAATACCTTATTTTGGGGAAAAACAGTACTTTTTTTGGGGGGGGGGGGGNGAAATAGACCCGCCTCTAGAGGCCACTAGCATAAAGAAGTGAGAAAATTTGTACAAAAATTATCTATAATTTTGACTTTGTTAGGCAATTAGGTAGTATGAGCCCGACACTAGTTTCACTATAAGAAAGAAAGTCACAATAAAGAGAGTATAAGATATAAGATATACAATTTTCAAATATTGTGTATACTTGTTCCAGAGAGAGTTATACACACTGAGCCTGATGAAATATTTTCTCTGCATATTCCCATTAGTATATTAAAATGGGAATATGCAGAGAAAATATTTCATCAGGCTCAGTGTGTATAACTCTCTCTGGAACAAGTATACACAATATTTGAAAATTGTATATCTCGATACTAAAATATTAACAAAGAACATTTTTAAGAATTTTAACACGTTCAGCAAATAAATAATAAATCTCACTTTGATTAAAATACCACCCATATGATAAAAATAAAATAATAAATATAAAATTACAACTCGTGATATTTAAACCATCTTTAATAACGTATGTACACCAACTCCATCGAATATCAAGCCTTAACGCCGTCCAGTCTCATTTTAAAACCCAAAATTAATACAAGTACAATATACAGCGTATAGGTATCTACAAATTAATTTCAGTACAGTCTTGCCTGTAAGACTGAAATATGTGGAAACTATGGATACAAGTATACAACTGTTGTACAGTTGTTGAGTTGTAATTAAGAAAGAAACACGAACGTAATACTCATTCGGTATGCGCATAATGATATAACACATACATTTTGTGTTCAGGTTTGAACAACTTATAACAAGCTTACAATTTATTGTATACTACTTGTTCGGAAACACGAAAAAAAATTGTTCTCAGGCTTTCACCACCAAAGACACACACATAAATTGAACCAGTGTATAAGCAGCCTATGATGTGGCGCCCAACGTATGTTATCCACGATGACAAACAATTGTGCGCAGTGAAACTAATAACACAATATCTTACATTAAAGTACAATAATTGTCAAATGGGTTTTGGATGTTAATTCTGAAAACAAATTCTGTTTACCTTATATATATTATATACCTACGTGTTCCTATGTTCCATTATTTCTTGGGTACAACAGTTTTGTCCACATATCAGTCTTATGGAGTATACTTTAAACAGGCTTAAAGAATTAAGATAAAAAGTAAATAGTAAAACCAAAAAAAGTTCGATGGTAATAAAAAACGAATACGAGATGAAATGTAGATTAAATTATGTAAACTAGCAGTTCTCAAATTATGGGAAGTGGGATAGTAGAGGACGAATCTTCCCATGACCTTTTTTTCAATCTAATATACAATAAATTAATAATTAACCCATATATTGGTATAAAACGGTAAACATAAATGATATAATTTTAATTATCAAATACCGTATGTTAAAAAAATTGGCCACATCCTTTCCATGGCGATATCATTTGGCCACCATTAAACACTGAACACTCCTAGATTCTTTAAAACAAAAAAATATCTAAATATTTTCTTTTTCCCTAGAATTGTATTATAACGAATCGTAATAATATTTTTCTATCATACTACTTTTTCGAATGACAACAGTTTTAATTTCATATTTGAAATCAGAATATTTTTCCAAGTATTTCTTTACACACAAATTGATTTTAGGAAGATAAGTTTATGAGTTACAACTTATAAGTTATAAGTATTCATAATAGGTACTTATAATATTTTAAATGCGTAATAAAAGCTACCTACTAATATAAGCTATTATATTATATATTTTAAATGCGTATAACTCATAAGCTACTCGTGGGAAAATACAGAAAAATCGAAATTTGGACGAGTAGCTTATGAGTTATACGCATTTAAAATATATAATATAATAGCTTATATTAGTAGATAGCTTTTATTACGCATTTAAAATATTATAAGTACCTATTATGAATACTTATAACTTATAAGTCGTAACTCATAAACTTATCTTCCTATTTTCTGTATCGAAAATCAATATACTTAGAAAAATATTTTAGTTTTGGCATATGAATTATAAACTGTGTGGCTTTTAAAAAAGTTAAATCATAATAAATGTTTTAAAAGAAATTCATATTGAGCGAAGCATAGCCTAAAATGCCATAACATGTGTAATTTTTGTTTGCCGAAATGACTACGCGTTGTGAACTTGCAAGTGTTTACTACAATAATAAAATATAAAGTATTTCTGTTTTATTAACTCGTAATACTAATCAAACGCTTAAAAAATTAAACGTTTCTCAAAAAAAAAAAAAAACAACAATATATCTATAAAAATTATCAATTATTTATCGCATAATGCTCAAAGCCGGAAAATTGACTAAGTAAATTATTTAAATTATTAATTAAACTTGAATAGGCGTAAATTACTTACGTCAACTGCGTGATTTTACTAATTGGTTGATTATCAATCAGATTAATCAGCCAATTGCTTCATTCTGTTCAATGAACTACCGGCCTTAAACCATTCAATTTGTTGTTCGTTGAATGTATGATTTAGTAATATTTCGTCACAACTTCCATCAGTGTGACATAATATGCATTTTAAAGGCTGAAATAATAAATCGTATTAATTGGATATTCCCAACTTATAACGTTTATAAAATTTATAAACTAAGGTGAAGTAGGCAAAAATTATAAACTAGCAATTATTATTTTACCTTGCCAGGAGCGAACTGGTCAAGTTCGACTATAGAAACTCTATCACTTGGTTGAACTTTATCATAATCCTTAGCGTCAGCAAAGGTCAAGGCTAATAATCCTTGCTTTTTCAAATTTGTTTCATGTATCCTGGCAAAAGATTTGACAATAACTGCACGTCCTCCCAAATGTCGTGGTTCTAAAGCGGCATGCTCTCTGCTACTTCCCTCGCCATAGTTTTCATCACCAAACACAACCCACGGTAAACAATTGGCCTTGTACGCTCTAGCCGTGTTCGGTACTGCATCCCATTCTCCTGTTTCCTGGTTTTTTACCTTATTCATTTCATTATTTTCTGAATTAGTTGCACTGGAATAATGAAAATAACAATTTTATTTTATTTTTTAATGATAACAACTATAACAACTTACGTTAAAAACATGTTATTTGAAATATTATCCAAATGCCCACGATATTTCAACCAGGGACCAGCAGCAGAAATGTGATCAGTTGTACATTTTCCTTTTACCTATTGAAATGTTATAAAAAATAAGTAAACCTATTTAAAAATAATAAAATCATAATATGCATGTTTTTTAAGTGAAACATACTTTAATAAGTATAACAAGGCCTTCTAAATCTTTGCCGTCCCAAGCTTCGAAAGGTTCCAATAGTTGAAGACGATTGGATTTTGGATTTATATCCACACTTACAGATGATCCATCAGCAGGCGGAGCTTGGTATGTATCTTGACCAGCATCAAATCCCTTTTGAGGAAGTTCGTCACCAAATGGATTGCTCAATTTAAATTCTTTACCTTTAAAAATAGATGACATTATGTCTATAAATATATGAATATAACACGAGTTAATGGAAACTCTTTTCACGAACGAAACACCTTGGAAAATTGCAACGATACAATTATAAATTATAGAAACCGTATAACTGCTATCGCGACAATAGCCAATATGTAAAATTTAACTAACCATCAGCACCCTTGATTGTTGCGGTTGTTGGATCAAAGTCTAAACGAGCTTCAATGGCTAAGGCAGTTACCATCTCTGGAGACGTGACAAAAGCATGAGTCGCTGGATTAGCATCGTTTCGCCCAGTAAAGTTTCTATTGTAAGAGCTCACAATGGTATTCTTTTCACCCTTTTTTACATCTTTACGGTCCCATTGACCAATACATGGACCACATGCATTAGCTAATACAGTACCTCCAAAATCTCTCAGTGTTTGCGCCTGAACAATATTATAATTAAAATATCTATCAATAATTCTAATTTAATATTTTATTATTTTATACAATTCCATCTCTTTCAATTGTTGCCCTGATTTGTTCAGATCCAGGAGTGACGTTGAATGGAATTTTTGATTTACGTCCATGAGCTATGGCTTCTTTTGCAATTGTAGCACATCTCGCCATATCTTCATAACTCGAGTTTGTACAACTTCCAATCAGACCTGAAATTTAATACAATAACTTAATATAATAAAAAAACTATATCATTTTAGTATTTTTATATGATGATAAAATGGTTTTAGATCCACGGTAATATCCATTATATTTTTACTGGTAATAAAATATAACTAGCTAAGAAAGCTGGAGTACTCATCCATGAATTTAAAACTGTTTTAATGCCATCATCATATAAATGTAAGAATTTATATTATATTAGGTGTTCGTTCATTTCCTACTCGAAGAATAGGTCATTTGCAAAAAAAAATTAATTTAAATATCAAAGGTTGGAAAATGTAATACAAGATTCCTCATAAGTGACTCACCAACTTTAATTTCAACCGGCCAATCGTTTTTTTTGGCATTTTCTCCAAGTTTTGAAATAGGATGAGCGAGATCAGGCGTGAAGGGTCCATTGACATGAGGTTCCAACGATGTTAAATCAAGTTCAATTAACTATTGATCAGAATATAATAAAATATTAACATAACATTGTAATAGCACAAAGAAAAAGGATTACCTGGTCATAATTACTGCCTTTGTCAGGAGTTAACAATGATTTACTGTGCTTCGCAGCTTCTTCCGAAATATAACCACGTGAGGTAGCTTTTAAATAATCTGCCATTCGGTGATTGAATGGGAACAAACTAGTGGTGGCTCCAATTTCTGCACCCATATTACAGATGGTGCCCATGCCTTTGTAAATATGATTTAATGGTTATTAAAATTATAGGTACCAACAACCTTAAGTCGATTACCCAGCCTTAAATAAAACCTAACTGGGCAATCCACTTCCAGCTGATAGTAATAAGTACATTGTGTGTAACTGATTGTAATCAGAAATAAATGAATATGTGAGTAGGTATGATTTTAATGTAATTAATAGCTTGTGAGCCACAGATAAATAATTAGTTAAATATAGGTATTAATTAAATCGTCATTGAACCGTCAAAATCAATCGAGTATGTTTAGATTTAATAAGGTTGAGTAATTTACTTTGCTATATATACCTAGCTATAATATCCTATAATATACAAAATGGTATCCACTCATAATTAATATTTTATCATCTGCAATTAATAATGACAATCTTATAATACAAACAACTGTGTATGTTGTATTAATTTTTCGTAAGCAGAAATTAAAATTATGTGCGAGCCACCCTACAGCCACATAAGTATATTTGTTGAAAACCAAAGTATTAATTTCCCCTGATTCTCGAGCCTCGTGAATCTATTTTTTTGTTTTTATTGAAAATGATCCAGAAGTTTTGGAATCTATAGAGGACAAGGAATGAAATATTAATTATTATTGTTTATATAGACATGTTACCTGTGCATGATATATTATCCACTCCTGGTCCGTGATATTCAATTACAGCACCTGTACCCCCTTTGACTGTTAAAATATCTGCCACTTTAAGAATGACATCTTTTGGTGTAGTCCAACCTTTCATTTTTCCAGTCAGATGGACTCCAATAATCTATATTAAAAAATTAAAAACATCAATTAAAATTATTAAATAATAATTATTATTGATTACTTTTGGACACTTCAATTCCCACGGAAAATTAGCCATCACGTCTACGGCGTCCGCACCACCAACTCCAATACACAAACCTCCAAGTCCACCACCATTAGGCGTGTGCGAGTCAGTCCCGATCATTAACAATCCAGGAAAAGCATAGTTTTCTAGAATAATCTATGCAAAATATTAAAATTTAATTTTTTTCTTATGTAATTTGATACAAATATTATAGCTAATATATTTTTTTAAATTTGTATTATACTTGATGAATGATCCCTGAACCAGGACGCCAAAAACCAACTCCGTACTTGGCGCTAGCTGTTTTCAAATAATTAAATACCTCTTCGTTATCTTTATTAGCTCTCTTTAAGTCTTCTACTCCACCAACCTGTTATTTAGAAATGTTTTAGGAAAATAATATATTATTTTAACTGCTAAATAAATCTAATTTACTTGAGCTTCAATTAAATGGTCACAATGAATGGTCGTTGGTACAGCCACTCTCTTTAAGCCAGATGACATAAACTGCAGCATAGCCATTTGGGCAGTAGCGTCTTGCATTGCCACACGGTCCGGTCTTAGTTTTAAGTAAGATACACCACGTTCAATATCTTGTTTAGCCGGGTCATCCAAGTGTGAATATAGAATTTTTTCAGTCAAAGACAACGGTTTTCCGATTCTGTTATAAAAAAATTATTAAAAAGTGCAAAATAATGATAAAAATGTGATATTTTATTTACGACACCATGGAGGTACATAATAATTGCATGTATTATTTTAATTTGTTATTTAAAATACCGAAAATTATAAACTATTATTAAATTAATTTCTTGTATATTATTTATGTCTTTATAAATGTATATCTTATTTATATCCTACAATTTCGTAATTTCTAAGGTTGAGAACCGTACGGATTAGAATACCTATTAATATAGTAAGTAATAATACAAATAAATAATCTTCAGGTACCTAGTAAAATAGTAGCTAATATACTACCTTTTTTTATAATAAATAAAGATTTAATTTAATTTTGTCTCCAATTTTTCAATAGTTTAATTCCAAAATTAAACATTTAATCACCGATATCACTATATCATTACTAATTAAATGTATACTATTAAAATTGTTAATTTATGTAAAGAGCTCATTGCAAAAATTTACTACTATACTTGTAATATTTTGTGATGATTGAGGTGAGGCGTTATTCCTGGTTATCCATAGGTCATTATACCTCAGGTTTAGAACAACATTTTTAACAGTACTCACATATTGACCCCGTGATTATTCGATCATACCAATTATTTGATCATAATTTAAATCATTATTATCCCTCCGTTTGTTATTTAAAACCCTCTGGGGTAGGTCCACGAAGCCACATACTCATATGGTTATAACACTTAAATCTAAGTGTTTCCTCATTTCGATTTTAATATCATTTTTTTCAGAATGCAAAAATATAAATTTCGTACACAAAAAAATATTTTTTAAAAAAAGTTGATCAGTAGAATACCTAACTGTAACATTTATGTCGACCACTGACAGTTTCGCTATTTAATAGACGCTAGGTGTTTGTAATATCAACCAAATGTTTGGTCTGGTTATTTTTGAAAAAACATAACTAGGTATAATTTTTCTAATTTCAAGGAAATAAGGTATTGTGCTCGCTTAGGTACAAAAACTTGAACATTATCATCTTCACGATAATTATAATTACAATGTTTTTAGTTTGAATATATTACTTTTATATACCTATAGGTCTTCTGATACAATAGAAATTCTAAAAACAAGACTATCACTCTTAAATTTGTCAATGATTTCGAAAATTGAAGATATTTATAATGTTTAAGCAGTCGAGTGATTTAAGTTGTCGATCCCTCGAGGTTTTTATAGAGTCTAGAAAAATATATAATTACGTTACTGAAGTAGGTACCACAATTATTTAGCTCCCTCGCGTCTTGTTTTACACATATGAAGTTATTTAGGATAGGGATTGTTTCGAGATAAAAAATGTAGATAGAATCAATTATGTGGGATTGTCCATGCTTTTGAACCCAACCATTAAAAACTGAAAGGACGCCACTGGTCACTAAGATGGAATGTATTTCAAATTGTAGTACTATCGCATATTATAGTCACTACATATTTCTTTGAAAGTGCTTTGAGACTCCCAAATTACTTTATCTAAGTCTGCATCTAGTATGTGGTCAAAGTAGATGCAATTATGATATTAAAAAGAGATGAAAATAATTGTATTTGCAATTAAAAAATAATGTATGGATACTTACTTATCTTTCACAATTTTTAAGTTTGATTCCAACTTTTCGTAGGGCAAAATGTTTTTGTCAAATATGCTCATCGCTGATGCTCTTCTAACGGTGTTGAACACAGCTCGCTGTTTGAAAAATATTGAATTCAAAATCATGTTCATAACGTATTATTTAAATACTTGAAAATCTGAATTATTTCACTTTAATTATGAATAAAAAATTTTGATCTATAATTGACTATAGTTTATAATAGAATGATTATATAATGGAATATATTGAGAGCATAAATTAATTGTAAACAAACTTAATTATACATAGTTACGAAAAATATTACAATTTAGAAAATGGTTGAATGTTATATTTTTTAATATTTAAATGTTTTTAAAACAACTTCTGAAATGATTTGGTTAACTTTCTGATTTATTTAGGTACTGTAATATATTTTTGTACAGATTTTAAACTATCATAAAATTTAAAAAAGTTAGATTAATTTTTGAATTTTAAAGTACAGTTCATAATAATTAAAATATTATCAACATAATATTGTTTTTACTACCAATATAGTCTTATCAATAAAATTGAACTAAGAGAGGAATTTCGCGCTGGATATAATAATATAATAAAAATAATGTATAAAATATTCATGTATATTATACAACAATAGTTTTTTTCTGGTGACGGCTCAGTGTGATAAAATTCAGTGAGATGTCTTTTACATCACGAACAACAAATTATGTTATGGTAGACTGCCAGTAATAACTAATAAGTAATAAGTAATGACAATTGGGATTTCAAACCCATCAATTAAAAATATCTGTACTAGAGCTGGTGCTATTTAGTTTATTATTTCCTATAAGTATCAGTGAATTAGAATTCCTAAATGAATAATACTCTTTATCAGCAATAACTAAAATTAATATAGTATATTTATTTTTATTTATACATATTATATATTGCATTATTTTTATTGATATCTAATATTTGAAAATGTAATACGAGATTCCTCATAAATTTACCTACCTTTAACAAAAAAAAATTTGACTGGAGTCAAATGAAATTTTATGAGCGTTTGAAGTTTAAAATGTTTTGACATCGCAGAATTTTATACAGTAAATTGACGAATTATCATGAAACGATTTTCTTAATTTGTTGTATTTCAAACACCAATAACTATAGATACTAGAAATTTTCACTGTATGGTTTATTTTATCATTTTTTAAACATCCAAAAATGTTAATAATATTTTGACTAATTTTGAGCTATTTATAGACATTTTAATTTTCAATTTTCATCGTTCTTTTTCTATAAATTTCAACAAATTTGTCGGGTGAAAAAGTTAAAAATTTAAATCAAGGTTCCTCTTGAGTTGTTATAAAAAAAATTAAAAATATGAAAGATACATGGGCATTGTTTTTTTTATAATCATTTAAAGTTTCAAAATCTCGAAAATTTGCTAATTATTTTGTAGTTACACATTTACGAAAATTTCAATTTTTATAGTTAATGATTAAAGATTAAGTAGTTCATACTGTCACCCAAAAATCTAAAAGACAAAAGAACACAGCTGTTTCCTTGATGCTATTTTCAATTTAAATTTGGACGAAAACGAAGAATAAGGAACTTGGTTATTTTGTTGAAGTTCAAAAAAATGTTTTAAATATAACCCGACCGACCGTTTCTAATCACAATCATGTTTGGCATAAAATCATATTAATATTGTTTTTATAATTTATGTGTAGATATTATTTAATACCATTTTATACAAATCATCGTAATTAATAAAAGTACTATGTTATAGCCGTTATAGGTAGGTACTTAAAAGGCTAAGCCCTAGTGTAATTTTCCCAATATTTAAAACAAGTTCTAACTAAATTAAAAAATTCTACCAGAAATCTCTCTAGATCATGAAGATTTTAGAAAATCTCTGCTTCACAGAGACATTGTACTCCAGCAGAAGTTAAGAATCTGATTAGAGTTGCATAGGCATAAGGGTATGGCCGTATGGGTATCCCGAAAAATGTTGATCCACTACTTATAACTGCTCATCTTACTTAAAATATTATAGTTTATTAAAAAAAATTGACTACTCGCTTAGTTAACTGCATCAACATACTTTTCAACATGATAAAATAAATAATCACCTTATGTTAACACCTACTTAATAGTGGTGTACTAGTGTATATGTAGATAATCGAATGAAATGTAATATCAAAATATAAACAATTATACTTTAGTAAATAATATTATTTGTAAAAATTATGTCATAGATTTTTTTAAGTTGAAGAAATAATCGTTAACCAACTTAGGGCTTAGGTTTTATAATGTAGAAATGTTGGTATTAGTTGTTTTTCATTGTCACCCCTAAAGATATTCAGCTCTTTGCCACTTGGAAAATATCACTTGTATTGTCAAAGCACAAAACATATTGAGATTAAATAATGGTATTTTAAACGATAAACAACAATACAACATTGTAATTTCGTTATATAGTCTACAACACAAATAGAAAAAAGTCGTTTTTTGGCGTCATACGAATTTCATAAGCATCAAACACGCACGAGCGTAAAATATAAAATTTAAACAAAATAATTTACAATGAATTCAGTAATAAAAGTGGGGGGATGCATATTTACACTATTTTTCATTCACATATCTTATCCACTTACTACATTTTCTTTATGGACTTCACACTCACGCCTCTCTAATTCATGCGTACATATCATATATGATATATGCATGACTCTAATCAAAGAATTGCTCGTTATAAATAACTTTCCGGTTTTAATACTTTTTGAGTATATTCTTTGGGAAATCAATAGAAGCAGGAGTTAGAGTTCAAGTTATGCTTTTTGGCTGAATAACACATAAAATGGTGATTTTTTTAATATAAAATACTCAATTTTTTTGAAACTAGCCAAATACCTAAGACTTCAAATTTAATTGATTCGAACTAGTTTAAATTATTTCACACATCTTTATTTTCCCTTTCACACTTCCATGGCTCAGATAGTATGACGAGGTTTCTCATAGTAGATACACGTCTCGAAATTACAATTTCGGAATTTGAACGCAATACTATAACTATATAAAATACTTAATAGTAAATAATATAATATAGTAAATTATATTATGTAATTATTTGTCATTCGATTATTTTAATCAACTATTCGATTATCGAAGGTTACTATTATAGTATTATATTACTCTTCGTTGTCGTATACAAAGTGATTCACCAAGCATGCTCATCTAACTATTATACATTTTAAAGACCATATTATTTTAAAATACCTAATTGAATATTTACATAATTTTGTGTTATAACAATTCTCTCTTTACTGTAAGTTGTTAATCGGGTGAATTTTGTTTTTAAATGTTGATATGTCTAAATTGAAATTTAAACGTGCTATTTTTTGTTATTATATTGTATATACCAAGGAGAGTATATCATTTCTTAATGATTTTATACAAATTATAAAATTATATTTGCTCTAAATTCTAGATCTTATTATAAGCTCAGAATATTTTTACAAGTTATACCTCTACAGTTTTATTAAATTAATATTAATTACTTCCAAATTATTATTCCTCTCATATCATTTAAACCTTTTATCATAGATTATAATATCATTATTATTATTAGTACTTACAATTTAATAACTCAGAAACTACCCTTCTGAATGAATTTTGATTTAGATATTTCAAGTTCAACATTTTCAAAAAGTTCGTTCATCTCCTTATCAATTTACAAAAAAAGTGAGCTATAATTAGAAAAGCTTTATTTCGCCAAAGGAGATTCTTTAAATTGTATAAAAAATCTTAAGTATTTAAAAATACAGTAGGTACTTACGTATAATACTTTAAATTAGAATTTAATTCATCAATTAGTGAAACAATTTGGGTTAGCACTGTTTGATGAATCATTCTGAATAGTGAATAATTATATTATATTATAATGTAATATAAAGTGTGTGCGATTGTTCACGTATACTGGAGTTACATAATGTGTCTAAGACTTCAAAACCGTGTAAAATTAAAAACCAATTATATTAAAAAAATCATTTTATTTCATACTATTTTGGTCGAAAAACAATCTAGTTGGCCTTTGCAGTATAAAGCAGTCGAAGCGTACAAACACTCAGCACAACATAACCTAAGCTATAAATTAGTAAAATATTGCCTTTGTATTTTTGGAGTGATTAGCGGCACCGAATTTTCAAACACATTACAGTACACGATAATAAATATATTCCCAAGTACATAGTTAGGTGCAGTCCTCGTCAGCTTCAGATGTGTACGATCTCATATTAATACAAAAGAAATAATTTTTATAGTTTATACGTAACGTTTTATACGTGTGGAGACAATTATTATTATACCTAGCATAACGTGCTGGTATTTTATTTTCCCTGGCACAGGCAGTTTGTGCGAATGATGAAACTTGCCTACCATCGACTACGGGTATACATACGTTTATAAACTTACTGAACGTATTTGAGAATACTTCGAGGCGTGTATTCAAGTACATTTTTTCTTTTGATATCTCACCTATTTCAGAATTATTTCATGTGCACCGATGACGCAGGTGCCTCGCGACAAAAGCCGCCGGGTGAGGAAAAATTTGTTTATTTCTACATAACGCATAATATAATAAATATGCAATTTAATCTAATGACATACAGAAAAATAAACACAAAACGGTTGTCACTCGTGCGTCACGGTAGTCTTTTGTAGAACACTTGCTAAAACAGAATAATATATAACAATAAAGCGGTGGAGTCTATTATAGACAGTATTTATCAAATTACACAGGACCTAAAGTCTATTATAACATTAATGTATGTAACAAGTCGCCAAAATATTTATGATAAATGCGCAATTTTATTTCATGGCCATTTGTTTATTATCATTATTATTATTATTATTATTATTATTATTATTATTATTATTATAGTTATTACTTATTATTGTAATTTTTTTTTGTCCACCTTGCTTAGTTGCGTTTGCGTAATTTGTTATATTTTTGACGTTCCTATAATATTTTTAGTTGGACTCCAGCCAATCACCGTGCCACACCAAGCCCCAACTGCATTCTTTTTATTTTAGATTAGTTGTATATTACATATTATTTTGTGTGCCAATTTGATTGTAAATAAACCATGCACTGTGTCTAACAGCATTTTTTGTAGAGGTCACGGTTGGGTTCGAGTCACACGTGTGTATGTGGAGCTAGGATTCGTCACTAAGTACCCAGGTGGTCACCCATCCGGATGCTAGCCACGCCGGCCGATGACTGACACCCATTAAGGACTCCAGCCAATCACCGTGCCACACCAAGCCCCAACTGCATTCTTTTTACTTTAGATAAGTTGTATATTACATATTATTTTGTGTGCCAATTTGATTGTAAATAAACCATGCACTGTGTCTAACAGCATTTTTTGTAGAGGTCACGGTTGGGTTCGAGTCACACGTGGGTATGTGGAGCCCTAGGTTAGAATCCTAATTCGTCACTAAACACCTATAATCATAAATCACCTTCACTAAAGTCCTATCTTTACCGTTAATTCTTATTACTTTTACATCCTATCATACTTTCGTATTTAATATTTCAATCACAGTTCATGTCAACTATCAAAATTCTACAGATTTTCGACTTGATAACTTTAGACTTTCGACTTGATTTTTAATTTTATATTTTAGAATTATTATAAATTATAATATATTGTAGTTTAAATATATATATTTTTAATTTTAATAGTAACAACATACTACATTGGGTTGGTTCTGACGCGAGGGTAAAAGAGATCAAAAAACCATGGTTTGACATAGAAAGACGTCTTTTCTGACGTCTTTTCTTACTTTTTTTTTCAACTTGATGACACTATTGAGAGGATGTCTACGCACTATTTATTTGCTCTTTATGTCCCACGCGCAACAGGGCAAGTTTATGTTTAGTAGAACCAACCATTATTAAAGTAACAATATATGGTTGGTTCTGATACATTAATTGCTTTGTTGTGCGTGGGATACAGAAAGCAAACAAACAGTGCTCTGACATCCTCTACCGATCTTTTTATTCTATCCCATAAGTCAAGGTTTTCAACCTTTCACTATAGGTAGTTTTTCAGCTGATTGGTCTAGTGGCCTTTGCAATTCAAGAACCTTTCCTACGTATTCGACATTGTTAACCTAACTATTCTACCTCCGCACTTCCTATTCTCCCTCCCTACATGTCTCACTCGCTTTCCCTTCTCCCCCCCCATCCCTCTTTTCTCACTCAAACTTTTCCCCTCACATTTCTCTCTCTCTCTCTCTCTCTCTCTCTCACACACACACAGTCTCTATATAGTGCCTACAGGTCATCGTACCTGATAATCGGAGAAAATATTTAAATACTACAAAAAAAAATTTAAAACAAAAAATAAAATAAATTTCATACCTAACCAATTTCATAATTTTTATCATAATTTTATTGATAGCCGGAATAGCGTTATACTAGTAGTTGCAAATTTGCAATACAATTAAATTGAAAAGTTGGGGCAATACAAACTCTGATCATTTAAATTAATCTACTGAAAAATAAAAAGTACATACCACATGTTTTCTGCTATACAAATAAGTCTTTAAAACACTCACGTCAACGCATTTCACACTGCATAATATGATATTGTATTCAAAATTGGCAAATTTTCACTGACGAATACTCTCTGAAAAAACGCAACCTATATAGTAAAGTGTTCAACAATATACGTAAGAGCTATTTGTTATTAGAAATTACAGATATTATATAGCTAAAATAATCTCTTTAAATTTTAGCTTTTATTTTACTTATACGCAGTTATTATGTGTTAATTTGTGTTTTAGCTATTTTATTCAAGAACGTATAAGTTTTATACCTTACGAAAGTCATATTTCTTCACTCAGCATGGTAAATTAGTTATCTACTAGAACTCTGCTACTGGTTCATTTTTATTTTAATAATAGTATAATACACAGGGACTAAAGTTACCATTACTGATTAGCAAGTGTTTTTATTTTATTTCAATATTTTATAAATATCGTTCAAATCAATTATTTTTATTATTAATTAATTTATGATATATTAATTCCTGAAATATTGTGTTTCAGAAAATAAATAATTATTGCAATAAATTAGAGTTAGATAATATATTATGTGAGTACCTATATGTAAAAAATAATTTAGTATAATAATAACTGCAAGCCTGGGCTAGTTAATGAACATTTTTAACTGTGTTAAGTTAAGTCGATATGAAACATTTCAAAAAGTTTAAACTTTTAAGTTAATAGTTCTCCTAATTTTATTTTTAATTCAGTTAAGTTAAAATTGATTTGGAAACTTACAACTAGGTAACTTATTTTTTTTTATGTACATAAATAGCCAGTTTTCTGGTTTTAAAATAATAAAAAGTAAATTTTAATGTAATACGTAGCATCATCATCAATAATAATTTTTACTATATTTATTATTAAATTTTTTATAAACAAACTACGCAACTAGGACTTGATTTAAAGTAACTCATTATTTAATAAAATATGTTTATCAATAAAAATCAGTTGAGTTAAAAATGTTAAGATATTGAAAATTATATTAAAAAAAGCTGGTATGTGGAGGTCGCTCTGCTACAAGTGGGTCATTGTAATGGATGGTATTAAGTTTGAATTCAACGATAAAAAAATCATTGTATACGAAAAACGATTATGAGCGAAGACGGTCTGTCAGTCTATAATATTATTAAATTTAGTAAATTCGATGATATTATTGTGATTAAAGTAATTTATTTTACTAGTAAATATTAGTACTACAAGCAGTAGATTAAATTCATTAAAAAAAAATACATTTGAAAAGTCATTGTGGGTGTAAAATATAATAATATACCTTAAAAGTTTCAAGTATACACACGAATAATATTTTTAATTTACAACAAAATAACATAAATTATTATCCTTAGGCAATTTAATCTTTAATTTAGTTCACATTTGAACATAAAAAATCTGTGTATTTTTTTTTGTTGAGAGTTACATCAAAAACCAAAATCGATTTTGTCAAAAACTGGGTTTCCGTAAAAATTCGCTTTTTTCCTTAATTTTTTATTTGTTGTTCCTGCTGCTTTTGAAAACTATTGAGAATTTTTTACTTTTACCCTCTCAAAATAACGTGATGAGAGAAACAAAAAAAAAATAAAAAAATAAATTGTAAAATCAATACACTCATCGCTCCGCTCGGAATCTAAAAGAAGTTAAAAAGTTAAAATTTACATAACTTTAATTTTTTAACTTGTATACGCCCAGGTTTGAATAACTGCAAAATTTTAGAATATTTGAACGCCTGTGTCTATTTATTTCATTACTATTTATTATATTTTATAAAGATACCTATACTAGTGTAAAAGTATATTTTTCATAATCACTCGTACGGGGTGATTACTGGTTAGGATAGTGAGTTACCACTCTGTGAACATTTTTGTTTTTTAGATACAGCTATAATATAATGGAATATTAATATATTATAATAGAACAATGAAATATATTTTATAACACTAAATTAATAGTGTCCTGAAACTGCTAACTTTGGATTTAAAAACAAATATATGTTATAATTAATTAACATTGTGTCTTATGAGTTATCATTTATAACGGGTATTTCTAAATTAAATCGTATAATGAATGTCTATTTCAAGTTCTTAAAAATAGGTTATAATTATAAAATTACCTTACGATCAGGGAGCAGAAAAACGACGACGACGAGCGGCGTTTGTATATTATTTGTTCTCTCGTATTTTATGCATTTGCTCTCAGAAATAAAATATGTGTCTACATAGTGGTCGCATATTTTTCATGAAATTAAATTTTTATTTGAAGTATACATAAGTATAATAAATTTGAGCACCAAAAAAATATGAAACCAAAATTAAAAACATCGACGCTTTCGGGCTTCGGCGGAATTCGTGATATTTTGTGTGCACTGCGGAATAAATCAGATATACGACTGAACTTAAGTCTGAAAATATTGAGATTTATTATGAAAAAAAAACCGTACGGATCGCTTCATGTTTCTTGTTCATGTCTGCAGCTTTGCTAACTGAAATTTTAGATCGATTGCGTCCTTGCAACTACTTCGACAATCGCCACGGATCGCATTATAATTTATACTACGTCAATATGATAAAACCATAGATATATAGTATATAGCATATAACACAATTTTATATCAAGGAGGTCCGTGTTTGAGATTTGATCATTAAGATAATGAAATGAGGTATAACAATAACCAAAATAGTTAATAATTTTAAAATTTAAATTACAACAACATATAAAGTACCTATTACAGTAGAACTCCGATTATCCGGACTATAATTAATGCCAAGGGTGGTCCGGATAAGCAAATATCCGGATGATTGATGTATGATATATCAAAAGTTATATAATTGTACGACTATATTGTACGTATGTATTTATTATTCATATATAATATGTAATATAATTTAAAATTCGTAACCACAAACAAATGATTTCATTATATATTTAACTGAAACAAAATAATCCTTAGCTACAGGTGTTCGATTTTTCTTGCCTCTCAAACCATTTAAACGCCAAATCCAATGCACCAAAAGTTTCAGAATTTTTAATGTACTTAAGTCGGAATGACGGATATTATTAAGAATAATATATAATAATATCTATTCTTTATCTAATCTAAAAACGACTACGAGACAGGTGTATGAATAACGGCACCCGCCGTTTTTTCTCGTTCGGTTAATTGGACGTCCGGATGATTGGCGTTTGGATAATCGGAGTTCTACTGTATTTTAATTTTTGATTTAATAATTAATAAAGGTGGTTTTTAAATATTCGAAGCACAAGCATATTTTTTTATGAGTTATTAATTAAAAATCTTATTTTAAATAAATGTGATTACTACTTTTTAGATTTAACATAAAGGTATTTAGTGCCTAATGCATCACATTTAAGATTTACTGTATACCGGCTATACCAACCATAGTTTGTAAAATTCCAAGTTAAATCTTTTCTCTGAATACTGTCGAGCACGAAATTTTCGAGAATATTTAAAATTTAAAATGTCCTTATTTAATTTCCGATAGATATTCAATAATCAGAGCGACTTTCCCAGCTTAATAAAATAATTTAATATTTGATGTACGACGGCGTCACTTTAATTCGCGGTTCGAGCACAAGCAGACGGCATAGTAATATTCATATTTTACTTAAAATTTATATAAACTAAAAATAGAAATTGTTGAATTTTGAGGGACATCAGAACTCCCGTGTACTACTGTGGTATGACTAGTATGTACAACACTATTTATACCTATTTAATTGTATAAATATGTTATTATTTTGCGACGTGGATATGCCGTCGTCGTATGTGCTAGAGTATTTTTTTGTGTTGCACGCTCGGGAACAAAAAATATGCCCCTACTTCACCCGGGTAACAAATTGTCTGTGGCAATAAATTTTAATTTTGAGACTAAAAAGTAAAATATGTAAGCCCAAAAAAGAATAGGTAATCAAACTTACGTACCTATACATCGACTCTTCGGGTAATACATTTAACTGCAAGACCATATCTTGAGTGCAGACGCCATATCGAGGAACTTCTTTCTCTTTCTAAATCCGAACTGAAAAAATCGAGATTTTTATAAAAATTACTTGAGTAGTTGAGTAGAATGAAATATGTGAGTAAATGTTTATTGTTGCCTTACACATTTTTCTTTTGTTCAATGAAATTATTAGAATTGTGAATCGTCTCCGACGAGTGACGACGATCGGCTTTTGCCATAGATGATAGATATTATAATATAATATGTTATTATCAGTTTTCGAGTTTTTGAATTCTTTGGATGACACGATACATTTGTTATTCCAGATTCCGAAACAGAATATTATTCGGAGTGTTTAAATTTATACAATTCAGAACTCTGAACTCTGCGTATAGACCATTTAGATTTTAGATACACTACTGTCGAAAGTACATTTTTTTATCCGGCATCTCACAATATTGTTTTTAGTCTTAACGTGCATATTTTTGCACATTTTATAAATTTTGCCGGAAACTGCTTATTTTTACGTTATTGTGCTTAAATTGCATATTGAAGAATATTTTTCGAAATTTCAACTTCACAAATTCAATCCGATCTAAAAAAAAAATAGTAATTCAGCTTACTCGCAGACTTGTCTACCTATTCTCTATATACAACTCACAACTCCTTATAGTTTTCGTGGTTTAAAAGTGTGCCATTCGCCGTTGAATCTGTGTTTCAACTGTGCTTCAACCAAGTCCAACAATAATTTTAAAATCATCACTCAGCAATCTCAATGATTTGGAGTTTAGTTTGAAAGAATACAGTGAAGTAAAAAAAAATATATGCACATATCTAAACTGTTTGGGATTTTTAAATTTAACGAGAGTTCTAGGAAATCATTTATTTATTGAAACAGATTTAATTACTGAATATAAAGAGTACTCATTGTCTGACAGTTGACAATAACAGGTATTGTATATAATTATTTCAAAATAATATATTATTTAATTAATTGTTTTAAATAATTTTTAGATATGTATTATCCGGAGCAGTTTCTTATGGACATAATTATTATGACGTAGCGTATGTACGCCGTGTAAATAGATGGGAAAGGCACAATGATTT